AAGTAACTTTTGAACCAATCATATACTGCCCGTCTAAATCTATAAGACTTCATTTTTTAAGTAAAATATCATGGTCAACAGTGTCAAATGCTTTTTTTAAATCAATAAAAATACCAAACCCAATATATCCTTTATCTAAATGGTTTGTGATGTAAGTTACAAGATCAAGTAAAGCCAGTTTTGTACTTCGTTTTTTGCGAAATCTGAACTGTAAGTCTGACAAAATATCAAATTTCTCAATAAAAGATATAATCTGTTTATTGACAACACTTTCAAAGATTTTACTGAAAACCGGAAGTATCGAAATTGGTCTGTAGTTGTCTAAATCTCATGTTGAGCCTTTTTTTATACACAGGAGTTACTCTAGCAATTTTAAGAAAAGTCGGGAATATTCCGTGCTTAAAGGAGTTATTTATGATATGGGTAAATGGGCGACAGATGTACAAGAAAGAATCAATCACAAGTCTTGGGTGAACATTATCATAGCCACATGATTTCGTTAAATTCAGTTTGTGAATTTCACTCAAAATGTCAAACTCGCCGACAGGATGAAAATAAAAGGAATTAATAGTTGGAATTGGAAGAAATGAGGCAAAGTCTACATTTGAATTCATTTGTGCTGCAAATTTAGGCCCTGTATTTGTGAAAACAATATTAATTTAATTAGCTATTTCCTTGTCTGTAGTTGTGTAATTTCCAATATTTCCTTCTAAATTACTTTGCAATTTCCGGGAGGGGGATTTGAGAATGTTACAATTCTTGTTTACAACTTCATTAATAATTTGCCACGTTTTACTTATGTTTCTCCTGTTTTCTGAAATACGCTTGTAGTAATACATTTTTTAGCCTTTCTGGTGACAGTAGTTAGCATATTGAGATAATGTTTATATTTGCTTTTAAAATTTTCTTTTCTTCGATATTTGCACATTTTTGAATAAAGTTTATGTTTTGTTTTTACCGATTTCAGAATACCACAAGACAACCATGGTTTACCCAATGGTTTTCCATGTGCCATTTTTGCTTAATTGGTACATGCCTAGGACAAATACTGCTAAAAATATTCATAAATTTTATAAATGAAGTGTTAGGGTCTGTGTCATCATAAACTGGAGACCAATCTACAGAGCTCATTTCATCACTGAAAGATTGTCTATTGTACTAAGTTGAACAATCTAAAAATCACGAAGTAGACAGTTTCTTGAAATTATGTGAAAGATCCTTAATGCGAGCAATAATAGGAAAATGGTTACTAAGGTCATATTCAATTGTACCTGTCTCGAAAAATAGATCACTAATATTTGTAATGAAATGATCAATAATAGAATTTGATGTCTCAGTTACCCTAGTAGGTAATAAAATACATTGAGAAAAATTATACGAGTTAAGCAAGGTTTCATACTCAGATTTTTTAACTACATAATCTATATTTAAATCACCAAAAAAGATACACTTCTTATTTTTTGAGACAACAAACTGAGACTTTTTTAAAAATTATTTAAAAACTCGTTAAGTGAAGTACCTGGCTTACGGTAAATTGATTCAACTACATATTTCTTACCGTGCAGACAACTTTTCAATGAAAATAGATTCACAATGATTAACATCCAGATCATTGGATTTAATAGTAGTAAATGGTATGTTTTCGGGAATATAAATGCCGACTCCACCACCTTTACTTTCACGGCGGTTTTGAAATAGAAAATTATAGGAAGGAATTTGGAAAACAGACACGGGCGAACTTTCTGACAACCAGGTTTCAGATAAACATACTATAGGGAAACAAAATTCAAGCGACGTCAAAAAAGATAAGAACTCATCAAAATGAGCGCATATAGACATAATGTTACAATGTAATATAGTAAAATCATTGTTAGCAATATTAGCCTGAAACGACTCTAGATTATACGACTTAGAAACAAAATTTATCAAAGATCGGCTGTCCCCCATCAACAGCGTAACATTAGTAACAGGACGCTAGGCGTCAACTCGAACTAGATCTATATAAAACGTTGCAGGTCACTTTCCGTGTTGATGACAATGCCTGGCGTGCGGTCTTCTTTACGAATAAAAATGTTTCCATTAAAAGTCAAAATAAACTTCCAGTATAGTTCTTTGCGACGTTTATTTGCTTTATGAAACAGCTGCTTCTTTGTAGGTGACAAGTGTTCATTTATATAAATTGGGTTGGTTGCATTACCAATGCCGATATCAGTGGGTGTCTTACTCTTCAATTTTTTCTTAGCTGAATATATCTTATTGCGCACACTTCTACGGGTAAAGCTCACAACAATGGAAGGAGCCATGGTGGCAGTTGGTTTCTTGAAAGGACGGTGGGAAATATCTATATCACCTGGTTGGATAGCAACACCTACCGCAGACGCGATCTTCTTGGCTATCTCGTCAGTATCTTCATCTGGTAACTCCGGTATTCCACTGATTTCGATATTATTACGTCTCATATATTGCTGAAAATCTTCAATCTCGGACTGAGCATTCTTTAGACAGGATTCCGTATTGGTTAGACGATCATTCAGATGCGCATTCTCTCGCCCAAGGTCGCTCATACGTTGCTTGTACTCATCAAAGAAACTGCTGACAAAATTTACAGTGTCCTGTAGATCATTGATTTTCTTGTCAATGGAAACCACTTTGTCGTACATTACATTCAGATCTTCCAAGGCACGGTGAATAGCAGATAGAGTATTCTCAGGTATAACTTACTGCGTGTTCAAATCACTTTTCATTGGCGTGGTCGCAGATGCGCTTACCAAGGACGCGGTGGACATCTTGTCTTGTTTCGGGAACCGTCGATTTTCGCATTTCTTACACAACTCCATATCTCCTTGACACAACCGTACGTTCTTGAAATCTTCACATTTCATGTTGACCTATTCGAAAACATCTTCATGAATGCAATGCAGTAGGGGATGAGAAACATTACATTTTATATTGTAACAATTATTAAATCAAAGAACATAGATCTAGGTTCCCTGCAGGCCAAAACTTGTGAATTTATTTTGCCATCGGTAAATAGCGCCATCTTCGCCAGGGTACGTTACATCCAGGACAGTCTCTCAAAATGGCTGCCCCCATACGACATGTCTGTCGAGCTTGTCCAAATTTACCTTTACTGTTCATGCGTTCGGAGACAGTCTCCGTCAAGAGTGAATTCACCGGTCTGTCCAGATGTCGTTCCTCCGTACAAGGATGTTGTAGTGTAAAAAAACTCCCTAGCAATGGGGTAAATCCAGGGGCGACGCGCGATAATCTTCTCGGGCAGCCTCCAATGTGGTGTCCGCTGATGGAAAAGTATTGCTCACTGACCCTAGTGTGTTGGAGTTGTCAAACGCCATCACCCAAAGAAAAACAGAAAACTATGTTTTTCTGTGAACATTGCGATTCAATTCAACCAGTTATAGACGAAGTCAACCACTTCGAAAGGCTAGAATTGTGAGTATACATAGTAATTGTATCTTCGACTTCGCAGTTATTTTTAACATCACCTTGTTTGTAAATAATACATACAACAGGTCGTATCTGCCCTATAGCGGTATCAGATTTCTTTTTTTAAATGCAGTTTCACACTCCCTTTGCTATTATCACCGATTTTCAGTCACCATAGTGATTTACTTCCCGAATTCTCGTTTCTTGGGTGTCTCTAATTAATATTTTTTCTAACTAGCAAACTGAACTCTCATCAAATTTATTTTTTTTTTAGAAATTTTGCGAAATGTTTTCTCCCTTAGAAATTCAAGGGAATTACGACTATGTTTGCAAGGTCGCAGATTGTTTCTTCTGGTTCGTGTGGATTCACAAAGATTCACTTGTTGCTGCAGCCCGCAGTATTCAAAACAACAACGATTCTTCAAATATTTGCTGAACAGCTGCAATAAAAAAACATTTCACGTAATTAATTGTTCACTATTTTGTGACATATATTGCATTTTACAGTAAGACGTCCTTCGATGTTGATATTGACAAACTTACCAGGAAATATAGAGAGTTGCAGTCAATCCTACATCCTGATAAATATGGCACAAAAACATTGGTAAGTAAAAGCTGAGTATACCCTGTGAGTGGCTATGTTTACATCATCCCTGGCTAAAAAATAAGCCTTCCAGATGATCATTTTCTAGCATCTGGTGAGCATCGCATAGTTTCACTAGTGATTTTCGGAATTCTTGCGGGTGATGTGAAGCAAGGTGAAACATTGTCATGTTTATGAAAATATAAGCAACGTAACTATGTTTGAAATTGTGGTGAAAAACATGTACTATTATTAGAAGAAAAACAACATAACCTGTTGCAGCACTGAATAATTAACATAATCAATAACCCTTATCTTGCCAGCCCTCTGCACTTTTGACATTGACTTGACCTAAGGCCAGCATTCAGTTGTCTCTGTGGATTATTCAAATTCCACAATTTTGTTTTTCTCATGCATTTATGTAATTATCTCACTGTTGATAATCTGCCAAGTAAATGATGGTAACTGATAAGATATATGTTTGTTGATTTTGGACTTAAAATAAAAGATAAAAGCCCCTCCTACAACAACATTGCTAAACAATAGTGGCCCACTATGGAGCTAATAGAAAACAAGAATGAGATTATAATTCCATTTGAGTTTTGTATGCACTAACTTTTCATTTTCATGGTTTCCGTAAGTTATTGCGTCCTTGCTGACAGATTCACATGGTTGCAAACTTTGAGTGAATCCATCGGCGTAATAAGTATTGTGGACCATGTCTGGCTATTAATCATGCTGTTTTCTTCTACTGACAGAGATGTGTTGAGGGGTAGGGAGCTAGAAATATTAGGATTCATATTTTGGAAATGTAATCATAATGCTGGACAATATTAAGACAAGAACAGAAAAGTTAACGACATGAAAATTGGACGACTTTTTGCAAAGTTACAAGTTTTGCCATTTCAAACAATTTCTTTTCATGGACAAAATTGTGAATTTTATTAATTTATTATTATG